GTGCCAAGTACGGCATAACAAAAGACTTGTTTGATATGGTGCGTGCTGCTATATGCTTATACTTGGGGCGAGTGCTAGATGTAGAGATACATTTACTGAGGTGAGAGTACGGTGGGTGAGATGGGTTTTGTAGCATTCTGGTAGAAAGTTTCTGGTAAGCCCTAAAGTATTGTGAAATAATAAACTGAACAACATGCTTGCGAGACATACCACCGTATCGACATACACATTTGATGGATGTGCATATGAGTTTGAAGTCTTTGAATAAAAGACCCGGAGAAATAAGTGGGGCTGCATAAAGCTAGTGCAATACAAAACGTTTTATTAATTGAGTTGGGGTAGATAGCATTTTCAAAAGAATAATGTAAAAGGTGGGTTTTCTGGCTTTCTGAAATGTGTTAACCACACTGAGAGACCAAGAAAGATTGCGAAAAATGTTGACTTTAAGATATTTGACGGAGCACACTCTGGAAACTTATCCTCCATTGATACTGAGATTATTGTTCACTCTGAGTGCATCGTATATGAACTTGCGATAAAAACTGTTTTGTTCTCCGAAATGCTTTCTACTTTGAATCGCTATTTTATATTTGCCGCCGATAATTGGTTTATACCTGGCCACACCGATTCCAGAAGTGGTATGGATTTGGACTCATGTTTACACATCGAAAAAATCAGCCAATCGTAGCTGGATTGGGGGTGTTGTTAGTATCTAGGTTAAGCAGCTGGCGCTATGACTGATACTGGCAAGCTAACAAGATTCATGTAAATATAATTCAGCATAAATAACCAGTTATAAATCACCTTAATGATGCCTCAATTCCAATATTCCTCTTTAGTCGTTCAATCGTCAAGGGATACACAAGTTTATCGGTGTACGACCCAAAACGGATAGGCAGAATACGAAAGATCTAATTGTACCAGTAATTTGGATATCGATGGGAAAACACTGGGAAATGCGAAACATTCACACCAACATTGTCCTAATGTGTAGAGATCGAGCTGGTAGCTGAAAATAAATTATTTTGACCGATCGATATGTTTTGACCTTGACTGCACATATGGACTAAATAGTACGGCTCTTATTGTGTACCTTGTACACACGTTGCCCATCATTTGATCAACTGGCTACAGGTGTATTTGACAAACATTTGTCCAGCGTTGAATATCACACAGCACGGCCGCATAATCCTCACGTTTGAAATCTTGAGGAATATCTCTCGTCCCATAAATAAAAGATATTTTATTTTTCATTCAAGTTACTCGGTTTGACTGTTATAAAGAAATTCGAAAGCAACACGGTGCGTGTCCGATTTTTCTGAAACGCGTACATTTGATTTCCTTAAATGTTCCGCGATTCCACACTCTCCCCTCATTCATTTGCACGCCTTGATATATTCAATCTTGGATTTAACAGAGATTTATTGGATTTCAAATGATTTGCTGATGCAATGCAAATTCTTATATCGTACCCCCTGGCTTGAGTGCCACTTACTAGGGCCTTTATCGCTCAAACCTGAATGAAAATCCTGTGGGTATTATTACCAAAACAGATGTGGTGTTTTACAAATCGGTCTTTCACAATTTGTGCGGATAATAGCCTGCAATTTTTGAAGCAAAGCCATGGAACCAGCCGATCATTCAACTAGACAGATAAACGAAAGTCTCTCGCAATGCTCTAATTTAAGACTAACACACCTTCTTCTCGGTGCGTCAAAATAACGCACCAAGTCGGGGTACCTTGGATGATGCCTGCTCATGAAAGAGAGTGGTAACCTATCGTAAACCTTTGTTCCGACCGATTACCACACTTCATCCAACATTCCGGTTGATAAAAGTTCCGGACAAATCAATTGGATAGACAACACGATGCTCAGCCATACCTGGTTCTGAACCTTTTTGTTTACACCATTGATCTGTTGCCTCGTGAAGATTAAGTTGCCCGATTTTCCAGTGTACAACGCGTCTGTGTTTTCTCTTTAATCCCTCGGGTTTGATCCCTGTCTATATCTATAACTGCCGTGTATATCTAACAAAAACCGAAACAGGTGTGAAGTGCTTCCCAGGTTTTGAGTTCCCCAACGATTTGTGTTCTGTGTTCAGTATTGTGATGCACTCGGTGGTAAAAGATGAATTGGTCACTATTGTGCTTTGAACACTTAATCACAGGACCAAATAGATGATGCAACAGTATATCATGATATATATATATATACTCAAAATCAATATGGATGTTTGGAGTTGAACCTAACATGAAAGATCTACGTTTATTCATAAATAAAAAAACGTTTTTCTCGCGAGCAAACTTGGAAAGGATATTAGTTGTATGACTGTGAAGTGATTGGTTTTGCGCAGCATGGTTGATAGGACAGTTGCTTCAATTATCGATCCGTCGCGACATCATTACTCGCAGCTGTTTTCTGGGGTATGGACGAAAACATGCCAGTTCATGTGGACTAGCACGCTATTAGAACTGGATTAGATGACGGTGTGGAAACCGCTCCCATCTCAATGTTTACTTTCCATAGACAAGGTGTTTCTTCTCTAGCTACTTGTACCATGTTTGTTGAAACACAGCAGGTAGTTCCCCTCTGCCAGTGCAACCGGTCCTCATAACGGATAAATGAGTCAAAACACGATAGAGGACAGATCGAAGAAATGCTAGTCGAAACTAAGTTCAGACTAAATGTGAATGAATAGCTGAGAATGATCGCAAAAGATACAAAACACTCAATTTAGTTTATCGGTGACGTACCAACCCGAAAGGTAATGAGCCTGAAAACGAACCAACCTGATGATCTGGTGCACAGCTTCGGTTAATCGTTTAATGTAAATCTCTACCCAGTTATTGACAACAAAATTTATTTCCATTTGTTGAGCTTTCAATTGCATATTGAAGGACTATACGCACGCACTTGGAAATGTCCAAAATTCCTGGTATTGTATTTCATCCAAATCGATTATTCTGACTAAAAATGTGCTGAAAATCACACAGTTCATTTTGAAGTTTCTTTTAACGTTTCGTTCCATTCTGACGTTTTGCAAAGGGAGAGAGGGGAGGGGGTACTTGGTCCTTCTTCTTATCTTCAAATAATTCCAGTGTGCGTTTCTGTTTTGACTGGACCTTGTTCGCACTTTACCACTCGAACAATCAAAACTACGATCGGGATGTACATTATGTAGCTGTTCAACATTGTTCTACCTGAAGTTTCTTTCTTCCATGTTTTTTTATTACCTTTTCTCCCTAATGGGTTTTTTTCGGTGTGGTTTTTCTTCCTTTCTATGCATTACTTTTTTCATGTATTTTCTTTGGGCCAGATGGAAAAATTGATAGGTATAGTGTGTGCCAGAGTTTCATTATTTTGGTCATACGTCTTCAGTCCAATACGTCCCTCTGTGTGTGTATGTTTCTGTTCCCAGGAGACCGGCCGAGGTGGGCTATGTTCGTGAAATATCTATTCCCTCCGGATCTACCCCGGAAATGTACCGGAAGGAACCGCATCCGATTTCTTCATCGCCAAATACGGTAGGCAGCAGTACAATTTGACTGTGCTGAGATTCAAAACCCGTTCATCAGACATGGACAGTGTGTATTATTGCATTCTCCTTATCCCTGTGCATTATTTTAACATGTAGAATGAAAGAAATATTAGTAGTTGTATGATTCACGCAATGCTAATGTGTCATGTATATGGCTACTTTACATCTTGATGACTGATAACTCCGTGGGTAGTTTGTCGCAATTAAATGGTTTTAAAAATTATTTCTTTCAATTCCTTTCCACAAAGTGGGGAAAATTAAATGCTCCTGTTAATGCTTATATTTCACATCCCCCTTGGACGAAAGCTGGTGCACAAGGAAAACACACAAACAATCAACTTTTGGTGTTTTCATACAGGTAGTCGATGAGTAAAGCAGATGGCTGGAAAACAACTGAAGACGAAAATTTCTGATAGAAAAGACCGTGAAAAAATCCCTCCGGAAATATCAAGCACGGGGCTTATCTTTGATTCGTACGATAACATGGCTCCTATTATATTCTCCAGCCTAGCTGCACTACTTTTCTGCCTGAAATGATACCACTGTTTGTGTTCACTGATGCATTTGTGCAGAGTCCGCTCGGTTCAGTGAGTCCAATATCTCAGCAGAAGATTTCCCAATTTAACCGTAGAGGTTATGCAAGCACAAACCATACACTACTCATAAGTAGCACAGTGATAAAGTCATGCTTAGTTTATTCTGGTGATAAAGTGGCGTTGAGCGTTCAGTGTTCTTCATAACATCATGGCAGTTTGAATGTAAACAACCCGGCCATTGGCAGAAATATCTCATCGAAAAACACCCAGGTTAAGCTGTTACATCGTTTCAGTTATGCTGTCGATTCCGATTAGGCTAGAATCAGTGCAGATAGAATTCTAAGATATCGGCTTTATATATTTCTTCTCGTCAGTATTACGCGACACTTGCAAGAAATCATTCGAATAACAATCTGCAGAATATAGCCCAGATGAACACTAAAAAATCATACTCAGTGCCCACTACCAGTGAAAACGAATACTGCGATGGAATCTTAGCACCTTGACTCAAAATGTATTTCCACTCCTTCCAAATGTTTCCATTGTGTGCGAAAAGCCCATTGACTCACTGAAAGAAGCTCAACTCAGACAGTGTCACTCATTCTTATCCGTCGGATAACAATTTGAAATTATTACCATCATTTTCTGTAAGCTATGAATCATTTACTGAGTGACAAACAGGTAAAATCAAACCCCGCTTCTGTGGCTGCATTGTACCCAAATCTTAGACACCACACACATGCCTTGAAGTGTTGGGAACAGATTCAATTGACTATGATTCTGAGCGAACCGGTTTGAGCAGTAAAGCTTTGAGTTGCGTTAGACTGAATAGTCCTTTCTTGTGTTTCCAACACGAGGATAAGACTTCTGTTTCTACAGTCCCTTTTTGTGTGCTTATCCAGTTTTTTTCGTTGGATAGTATAGTATCCTTCCCAGAAGACGTTCATCAGAACTAGCCCAGAAGAGTACTGAACAGCTTGAATAAACAGTGATGTGACCCAAAGCATCAACAGATTAATTGTTTTAGACTTCTCGGAGTCCAACCATTTGATCAATGTTTCTGAGGCATTCAATCCGACCTGTCCAATTCGCAACCATTGCCCTGGGTTCAAAAGAAAGGAGCATGTTGAACGCAGGATGAGTCTGATCACTCACGAAAGCCATCAATCTCTGGTGTACGCTACGCCCTGTGGCAATGCTTCAGCTCCCAAACTCCCACGTTACCCTAACCAATGTGTGTATGATTGACATCAGGTCATGGAAATGAGACCGCTTTGTTTTTCTTGATTTGTCTTCCGCGTTCTACAGCAAACATATCATCTTTTAAAATGTAAAATAATTCAACAATTAACTCGATTGGGCATTCTGATACACAAAATGTGAAGAGAATAACGGCGAAAGACACTATTTATTCCAAATCACCAGCGCTTTCAACAGTTCACATTTTAAATATGTCGAATTCGGCATTGTCCAACGCCAGCTGTAAATTTCCATCCAGTTGTTGCATACTTATTTTGAACAGTGAGGGTCCACTCGCAGTTTTTATCCTTGTTCTCTGCTGCCCGATGGTGTTTTCCTCTTCTCCACATCGCTGGCACTCACGTCATTCGGATCACAGCCATACAATTCCCATTCCCGCGTTGTTATGGAGCTTCCTTTGAATCCGGATTACAATCCGCCCGGTTCCTTACTACATGGCACGGTTATTTCTCGACCATCCAGTGTGGACGCACACAATGCCAACAGTTTTCACAATAACGGAAATCATTATTCTCAGGACTCAACTTTCCATCGAACCATCCCCATGAACGGAGCTCATCAGGACTCTTTCGTGTCTCTGTCCAATTCGGATTTGCAGGATGACACGGAGAGCACAGACAGTGATATCCAACCCACCAGTTTGCAACGATTCCCGCGACTGGCAATTGATGAGCACGAATCCCCATTAGCTTATCGGATTCGTGAGAAGCCATCCCCACAGTCCACTCCCAGTCTGCCACGACGTGCAACGACCAGTCAGACGATCCAGCTCAGACAACCTACTACACAGGAGAGTTTGAACACATCGATTGACCAGATCACGTCTGGACCCGGTCGATATAAACCGGTACAAACAACAACAGATGGTGGTTCTGATCAAGGGTCAAGTGAGTTGGTCATTTGGCTGACAATGTCATGTATTTTATTCACACGTTCAATAATTTATAGAACCATTCTTGCAACTTTAGTAATATTAGGTGTACACCTTTTTGATCTACACAATAGATAAGTGCAGACCACTTATTTCCAGAGGGAAATTGACAGTTTATGAAAAACTATTTTTCATTTATTTCAAGTATTACCGACTAGCGGGCATGCAACGATGAGTGAAGTTAGTAACTCTCAAACAGCTCAAGAAGTTCAGTTACATCGAAAGCATACAAAGTGAAGCGGTTTACTTGACTTTCCGGTTCTACCTCCTCCCGGATGTGGACTTCTTCCCCGGGACTTACTTACCGTTTCATTGATTTGGTACATAGTGCACGTTCATGTGCAAAAAAATCACATTTTCTTCACACAAACTGTCGTTGCCATATGTGACTTGAGTAGTCGCGCATAACATCGTTCCACGTAATTGATCTGTGTACAAGCTCCGTAACCCGTTTGTTAACTTAATCGAAGAGTTGAAACGCAGTCACGGTCGCTGATTCTCGCGGTAAACATATATTTTATAAAACTTAGTCTAGTACAGGTTTTACTGCTCGCCCTTCCCATCTCCTCAGGAATTCTCCGGGTTCATAGGTTCGTCCATCGCAACTGCAGCGAATCTTGATGGCCTATTCAAACAGTTTATAAGTTGTAATGAAATATCTCGTGGTCAATCCGATTATGGGGTGCTAAATGCATTTTAATCTGTAAACCCTATATTTTCATCTAGGAGTCTATGCTTTTGTCTGTTTTAGGTAGTTCTAAATTTGGCTCATGTTTAACAGTTAACAGTGCTTGAAACGATAGGCGTGTTCCTGTGACTCCAGCTACATCGGCAGTCGGCAGTTGAACAAACGGATTGAGGAGCATCATCCAGCCTAGTTGAGAAAAGAACTACCAAAGGTCATTCGTTGCTCAATTTCGGAGCATCTAATCAATACGGAGCATACGTAAAGTTATTTAAGGTCATCTTTAGTACCCCGATGAGTCTGCCTAAACAACTGTGGTCAATTGTGCTTTGCACGACCGTGGCGGTGGATATTCGGATCATCCACACTGAACTGTGCAAACAAGAGCCGATTATTCAAACACTGAAATTGCCATGGCCCAACAATATAACACAGTCGACCGTCGTTCAGGAAATCAAACAATGACTGAATGATCGCGTTATGCAATCAGTGTAATCAAATGATTGCAGCTCTGTACCCCCTGCGACACACACACACTCGCTCCTCCCACCCAGGTTTATCTTTGGTTTCACAAACTTTGTTACTACCTTGTGATCATGCAATAAAACAGGAGCTTGACTATTCTCTTCAATGTTTTTTCCGATGCCTGTGTTCATATGCTTTCAAATACTTTCACAAAAACAACATCTATGTTCACAAAAGCTTTTTCTTATTCGACCACATATATTTTGAACAACAGCATATAATAATCGGTAAACAAACCACTCAAAAAATATTCACTGGCTATGGTCACTCATCACCCTCCCCCCAGGTTAGTAGATTAGAAACTTGAGTAGGAAATGTACATTCTAGGTGCAATTACATGAATGAACCGACGAAAGGTTAACTTATAAGTATTGCTGGTTAGTAGTGACAAACAAAATATTGATCGTTTGCTTTCCAGACATTCAGATACTATTTATATATACGTTGAAAAGACCAGTGAGGGGGAGAATTCTTTTCGATTACTCGTTCGCAAGCTTCCACATTAATATATCATCACAAGATGGCAACAAAAGTTATAATAAAATAAACCGGAGTGGGGGAGGGGGTTACAGAGTTGTAATCACTTGAATAAGCAGATTACGTAATACGGTCATTCAGTCATCGTTTAATTCTCTGAACAACGGCCAATTAAGTCATATTGTCGGGCCATGGCATACTCAATATGCAAACCGTCCACTTTTATTTACATAGTTCTGAGTGGCCGATACGAATAGCTAAAGCCTCGGCCGTGCAAAGTATAATCTGCCGCAGTTGTTTGGTCAAATTATTCGGGGTTCTGTAGACGACCCTAAATGACCTTTCAACGTCTACCGTATGCCCCATGTTGATAAGATGCTCCGCAATTGAGCTACGAATGACCTTTGATAGTCCTTTTCTCAACTAGGCCGGATGATGCTCTTGAATCCTTCTTAACCAACTGCCGACCGATGTAGCTGGCTCCACAGGAGCAAGTGAATTGATAGACATGCATAGAAAGGTTGACAGTGACAGTCGATCCTTAAGTCTCTGAGCAACGACT